CACGTGGCTCCAACCACCCCTGTACCACGCCCCAAGCCTCACAGATGTACCGGATGTTGTCTGGTCAATTCTCCCCTCAGCGCCCTCACGGTGCCCCCTGGCTAACCATCATTCAAATCCCTACCAGGGCTTTCTCCACCCGGCATCCTCAAACAGAAGCTGCTCAGGCCATCAGGCTTCTTTACTCAGCTTACTCCAGCAGAACTCCTTCTTCCTTAGCTGCTAGCGGAGAACTGCCTCCCTGGCCTCAGCCTGGATTATGCTTATATAGGTCAGACCCTACCCCCTTCTGGTCAGCTGACCAACTGCAGTTGCCCCAGCAATCAGCACCCGTACCCCTTTATTATGCCCTGTGACACACCTTCCCCCTTAAGTTTTAAGACTCACTAGGAGCAGGGTACTGAAGTGCCCTGAGACACAGTGGCCCAAGATGTTATAGGCAACATTTTTGGCTGGAGTACCAAAAACATCCTGACTTCCTCATGCTGAGCCCAGCACGTCAGAAGAATCTGATCGAATCAGCTATTGAAAAAGCACCCCAAAAGCCCTGCTGAAGTGCCCAATCCAAAAAGACGTTGGGCAAGCTGGATCCAACAAATGTGGTGCTTCTTCTGGGTATGTGCTGGGTTAGGCACAGGGGTGTACCAAATTTGAAGTATCAGATTTTGTTGGAGTGTAAGTTGCCAATAGCTCCAGTCTGAACACAGTATACGCAATACATAGTAAAGTTTGAAGTGGTCAGATACAGACTTAGGATATTAAGTAAGTTTTCCATATTCCTTGTCTGAAGGTATTAAATGAAATAGGCTAGGGACAGAAGTTACATGCAACTAACCCGCAAAGATTGAATCACTTCAGGCTCCAGCTTCCTGAATGTCTGTCCCTAGCCATAACGTCCACCTGTGATCTTACTACTTCAAAGCAATGTAAACAACTAAAAACACACCAAAACTTCTGGTCCATTTAATACTTTTGACACATTGCATCAGGCTGAAAGATTAAATAAACCTTAACTGTAGCCTGGCTTGTTTTTATTTAAGCGTGTAAGCTTTGAAGATTTGTTTTTGTTTTTTTTAAGATTAGATAGATGTAAAACAGAAAAAGAGGTACTGTCACTTTTAAATCTGTGCATATGCAACAGCACCAAAAAGCAAGCAGCTGCTGTTGTGGATCACAGTTACCATAGTAATGCATTCCCATAGTCACTTAGAAATTCATTTATATTAATAGCATCTTTATTTAATACAGTGGCAACTTCTGTATTCTGTTAATGTGACTTCCTGTATTACAGACTTTTACTGTTTAAAGTAAGATGAGTATAACTTTTTATGTAACAGATGGCCCAGCCACCACAGCTGGGACATGATAACTTAGGGCAGGACTCTAAGCCCCCTATTCACATCAGTGGTCCCTTTAAGTCAATAGGATAACTGCTATGAGCCATGTTCACCAGGGAAAGTTAGGGCACTATATTTTTGCCAATAGCTTGTATTGGCCACACAAGTTTCTGCATGTGGCACATATAAAAAGTGTGGGGAGGCAGTTAGGAAGGCCAGCCGTACCTTGTCATGCATCCACAGATGCATCTTGAGCAGGTCCAGAGAGGTGATCCTCCCCCTTTATGCGGCACTGGTCAGGCTGCAGTTGGAGTACTGCATCCAGTTCTGGGCGCCGCACTTCAAGAGGGATGTGGACAGCATGGAGAGGGTCCAGAGGAGGGCCACTCACATGATCAGGGGACTGCAGGGCAGGCCCTATGAGGAGAGACTACGGGACCTGAACCTGTTCAGCCTCCACAAGAGAAGGCTGAGGGGGGATCTTGTGGCCTGTTACAAACTGGCCAGGGGGATCAGAAGGCATTGGGGGAGTCACTGTTCCCCTGAGCACAGCCAGGAGTGACCAGGAACAAGGGTCACAAGCTAGCAGAGGGTAGATTTAGGTTAGACATCAGAAGATGCTATTTCACGGTCAGGGCGGCTAGGGTCTGGAACCAACTTCCAAGGGAGGTGGTGCAGGCTCCTACCCTGGGGGTTTTTAAGAAGAG